GAAAAAAAGAAAAGGACAGAGAGAGAGAGAGCGGCATCTTACAGAAATATCTCCACCAAAATTTGCCATCATTGCAACCACACCTCTATCAGAATGCACCATCCGAACCATCATACAAAGCATTTTATTAGATGGAGGATATTCTGAAGTTTCGGGTTTTCCGGGAACCTTTTTTACTTCAAAGACATCCTCGAAAGAGTGGCAACTACCAAAAGAATCCCCCCCAGATTCTTATTTCATTCCCCCCAAATTCTTATTTCATTTATCATTTTTTGTTAACTGCTATGTCAGGGAAAGAAAAACGAAAGAAAAAGGACTTTACTCAATAATAATTAAAAAAATAACGGAGTGAACTAGTCGTGATGACGACGAGGAATGCCTGCCCGATATTAGGCTGATGTCCAACAAAGACTAAATCACGATTCGGTGACATCCAAAAAGATAACGATGTCAAACAAGACGATGACAGCGATGCTGATGGTGATATTGAGGAAGATAATGATTGTGATTTTCATGACGACTGTGATGGTGACGATGATTTTTCTGAGTACAGTGTGATGGTGATGCTGATGGATGGCTATGGTGACGATGATGATTCCTTTGAGTACGATGAGATGGTGATGGTGATGGTGATGGTGATGGATGGTGATTGTGGTTTGGACGGTGTGACGCTGATGGTGATGGTGATGGATGGTGATTGTGATTTTGAGAAAGACGGTGATGGTGACGGTGATCCTCCTGAATACGGTGATCCTCCTAAGTACGGTGGTGGATGGTGATCATGATTTTGGGGAACATGGCGGCGATGGTGACGGTGATTCCTCTTCTGAGTACAGTGTGATATTTTTTTTTCACCTTTTAAAAGGCCGCTGATTCCTTTTAAAAGGTTGTTTTTTTTTCACTTTTAAAAGGTTGTGAGGGGTGTCAGCGACAGTGGAGGGCGAAGACGTCAGGCTGGATGCACCTTGTTCATCCCACCATGTCAACACAGTGGACCCACCCACAGACAGGGAATGCTTCCTTGCCCAACAGGAGGTTGGACGCGCCGTGTTCAGCCCACCATGTCGGCACAGTGGACCCGCGCACAGACAGGGAGCACCCGAGGACCACCATGTGGGCACAGTGGTTCAGCCCACCATGTCAGCACAGTGTACCCACCAACAGACAGGACCACCATGTCCGCACAGTGGACCCACCAACAGACAAGGACCGCTCAAGGACAGGACACAACCTTGACCACACCACACCAGGGTACCCGGGTAGTGGTTCAGCCTACCATGTCGGCACAGTGGACCCACCCACAGACAGGGAAGGCTCAAGGACAAGACACTCAACCTCGACCACCCGGGCAGATATCTACCGAGACCAGTGAGACCACCGATTCTTGATCACCGGTAACTGGGTGTGCCTCAGCCCGGCTCAGGTTCCGGCCCCCCCAAGGTGACCTGCCGAGAGGCAGTCATGCACCACAGTCACCTGTCAGCGAGGGTAGTGTCATAGGCCTGGTGGAAAAGTCGCAAACCCTGGCCTCCCTGCCCTGTGCTCGAACCCAATCCACCCCTTCTGAACCCGCACAACCAATGGGAGCTGTACAAATGACGATTTCGGTCTATGCAGGAACAGATTCTATGTGGCAGCCACAATGACGAACAAATTCTATGTGCCATCCAGAATGGCTGAATCCCACAGTCTAATATTCTGGCATGCGCCTTTCCACAGCGGTGCTCCACCACTGAGCATAAGACCACTTGTGCACCCGGTGTGTCCCTGGCCTGCGTTGGTCAACGCCCGTGGGCTGAGTGTGCAGAGTTGAGGATTCGAGAATTCGAACCCACAACCTCAGACCACAATGTGCACAGAGTTGAGGATTCGAGCATTTGAACCCGCAACCACTGAACATAAGATCACTTGTGCACCAGGTGTGTCCCTGGCCTGCATTGGTCAACGCCCGTGGGCTGAGTGTGCAGAGTTGACCTCAGACCACAATAGGCGCAGAGTTGAGGATTCGAGAATTCGAACCCACAATTTCAGACCACAATGCACGCTTTGGTCAACGCCCGTGGGCTGAGTGCGCAGAGTTGAGGGTTCGAGAATTCGAACCCACAACCTCAGCCCATAACGCACATTCAATACGGATGCTCTACCCACTGAGCTCCGGCCCTGGACAGTACGGTACAATACAGTACAGTGCACTACAGTACAGTGTGATGGTGATCTGGAGGAAGGTGACCATGACGGCGATGATTTTTAAGACAAAATGTTGTTGGGTGATGAAGATGGTGACGCTTCTGTTGACGCTGAGCACTGGTTAGGAAGACGATGGCATATGAGTGTGGATGCACATCAAAAAGCGTAACAAAAAAGAAAAACAGCTTAAGTTTCGAGGGAGGGAGCGGGGGGAAGGGAAGGTGACGCTGGTGAAGGTCTGCAGGCAAAAAAGGGAGACTCTATGACAAGGTTATAGAAAATGATGACGGGAAATGAGTTAAAAACAAGAAAAACAATAACAACTATTAAAAAAAAGAAAAACAATAGCAACTATTCAAAAAAAGACAAACAATAACAACTATTAAAAATACGGACTTTGTTTTTTTTTTTGCCTTTTCTCCCCACCAAATAGGGAGTAGGCGGAAGGCAAGGCGGATGTGAAACGCGAAAGACATTCTTTGAGGTATCAGTCCCGGAAAAAGGAGCAGGGGATCTGAGCGACAAGGTGAGCAGGTGGGCGGGTGACTGGGTGGTGTGGGTGGGTGAGGGGGCTGGTGAGTTGCGGGTGAGTGGGTGGGTGAGCGCTGCGGGAAGTCAAACAGAGATGTCTTAATATACTGCAAATCGAGAGAGGCACGAAGAGAATGCAACAGTTATTTATTAAAAAAAAACATCTACACAAGGGGAGAACAAAAACAAAACGGATCAATCATATTTAGAAAAAAATAACACTATCGCATATTACATAATAATTGTTAAGAGGGTTGGAGGTATGCCTGCGAACCATCCCCCCCCCAAACCCGCCCTTTTGGGGAGGACACAATAAAAGGGGTACATCCACGCGCTAAGGGTATTAGACATGCAGGCCTTCTACATTATCTCTTTTAACTTTTCGTTTTTTTCTTCCTTTAATTGTGGAGGACGGGGAGGGTGTGGGAGGTAAGGAACGGCTTTCTTCAATTCTTGAACTAAAAAAAAAGTAATGTTATGCCTTTTCCATTCCCTTCTTCGTTTTTGGTTTGCGATGCCTGTTTGGCGTTTAAAACAACAAAAAGGAAAGAAAAAAGACGTCTGTTTCGCGAGTGCGATCCTCGCTAAGGGGGGTAGCGAAAGAAAGTGGCGGAGTGGCAGGCTGTTCCGTCAGACTGACAGAGTAGTACCGTCTTCCCCCCCTAAAATGCGCCAGGGCTGAGGTCCCACCAGCAAAGAGGATTTGGATTTAGCGCCTGAATCTGGACGAGTTTTCGGCAGAGACGCAGATATTCAGAAAATCGCTATTTTCTCCACCTCTCTGGAAACATGTCCAAATTCAGGAGTTCCATCCAACCCTCTCTAGAAACATGTCCAGAATCAGGAGTTCCATCCAATCCTCTAAAAAACCCACCGGCGCCCGACTCCAGTACTGCATCGCTGATCGTCAGAGAATAATATATACATCCATATAGGCGAGAGAAAGGGGGGAGGGGGGGAAGGGGTGGAGCTCACAAAAGCAGGGCAAAGAAAACAGAACCGAGAATAATGGCAGCGCCCGCGATCGATGAAAATGGCAAACACGAGGACACATCATACGCAAAGAGAGAGAGAGACAGAGCGGCAGAGAAAGAACCAAATAGGTTAGTGGCCAATCTTCCCCCGATCCCAGACGGGGAAATCCACAATTCCATTGCAAACACCACTCCTCTCTCTCTCTCTCTCTCTCTC